GCTTTATCCCAAGCACAAATTGATTCACAAAAGGCCATGAATGAGAGGATGGATTAACTAGAGGCGTCTATAACATTACTAAAGGAGATCATGGAAGCTTATCTATTAGATAAAAAAGATAAAGGAGTGGAGATGCATTCAAATCATGATTCCTCTTCATCAGCTATGAAATAACAACCAATGCTCGCACAAGTCCCTCCACCACAAGGCCTAGTTCGAGAAGACCCAAGATTGTTTGATTTTGATAAAGGGGTTAAATTAGAGGTTGGAGATTTTCACGGGGACAATATTCCTGAGATATTCCTTGATTGGTTGCATAGCATTGCAAGCTTCTTCAGATGGTATCGTTTGACCGATGAGAGGAAGCTATTCTTTGCAGAATCAAAATTGAAGGGTATAGCAAGACTTTGTTGGGTAAAGTACCAACAAACTCACTTTGATAGATAATGAGNGAAGGGTATAGCAAGACTTTGGTGGGTAAAGTACCAACAAACTCACTTTGATAGATAATGAGATGATATGAAGACTACTATGACCAGCTACTTTGTGCCTACTAATTATAAGCAATGAGCTCATCTACAGTTTACACAATTGAATCTAGGGAGTATGTCTGTGGAGGAGTACACAAGAAAGTTCTACAACTTAGCTGCCCGATCAGAGTTTCCATGGATTGAGGATGTAATGATTGCCATGTACAGGCAAGGTCTCAATTCACAAATTTCTTCGGGTTTAGCTGCAAGTAGACTTTACACCATGGCAAATGCAGTTCAGGTGACCTATCAGATGGAAGATGAGTTGAAAAAAAGATCTTATATGAGATCTTCTATGGCACCTCCAATCCGGATTGAGAGAACTGTTGTAGATGCAAATCAAGGTAAGTCCACTAATAAACCCCAAGAAAATACTTTTATTCCCAATAAATCATCTTGGGCTAGTGCTAATTCTTCTTCTCAAGGGAGTACTAATTCTAAGACAAGATGTTTTAATTGTCTTAGTTTTGGCCATCTCTCTTTTCAATGCCCCTCAAAATCTGTTGTTGTGGTTGAAAAGGAAGATTCTAAAGTGCATAATGATTCTGATGAGCTAGAATTTGAAACAGAATTTGTAGAATCTCTTGATGTGGGTGAGGTTAGTTTTGATGATTTGGGTGACGATCATTTTATGGGTGTTTTCCGTCCTCTACTTATTGCTAATAAAGAAATTGCTAATGGTGAGTTTATTCATCGAGGAAAAATCTTTTAGACAAGAGTTTGTTGTAAAGGGCAGATATGTTCGTTAGTGATTGACACGGGAAGTTTCACAAATGTGGTATCAGAAGAGGTCGTGAAGAAGCTAAATTTGAAAGTTGAACCACATCCGGAATTATATCATGTAGCATGGATTACTAATACGAAGCTGAAAGTTGATAAGAGATGTCCAGTTACATTCACCATTGGAAGTCTTAAAGAGACCGTCATGTATGATTTGTGGGTAATTACAGGTATCCAGGGTTCACTCTCGTCGGAATGGGTCCACAGTGGCCCTGGCCTGGAGAGGTTCTATGTTATAAAAAAAGAAAATACGAATACGAACACGACACGAAAATAAATAAGTTAGCCTAATTTTGTCCAGGGGTAATATGGGTGTTAAAGTGTAAAAATTGATGATGTAATCACTTTTTTGACATTGCTAATAACGATGCTAATCATAGGGGTATTTTGTGAAATGGGTAGAAAACAGTAAGTGGTGTCAGTGTAATTTGAAAAATTGAGGGGGTGTCTATAATTAGACTAATTTACAGGGGGTGTTAGTATAATTTACCCTTTTTTTTATAGTGATTCATTTTCTTTACAGTTAGAAATTAATTGAGATATACCCCCAATATGCGATGAAGATTTGGAAGATGATTTTTTAATTCTGATAAAAGATGATGGTGAATCCCCAATGTATAACGAATATCCTGTGGATGATCATCTTAGCAGTACCCAAAATAATTGTGACGCATTAATATATGATGAGTATCTAGAACATGAATAATTTTTAGATTCTACGACAAAAAATAAGGGCGTGGAGGATGTAGTCTTCATAGATATGACTAGGCAATTGGTGTCGTTCCCTAGCGTAGAGGATGAAATTGGTGAAACTCTATGCCAAGAAAAAGATTGTGATGTGGATGCGGTGAAGGTGATTTCAGTTCATAGCAAGCCCATAGAAAAGTTGGTCAGTTGCTTTGATTTCTTTAATGTCACAATTCTTTTTGGTGGATTCAAAATACTTGATAACTATGAATACATTTTTTTTATTTTTTTATATTTGATAACTATGGATATTGGGGTGGTCAAACGTGCAAGATTAAATAAATATCAAAGTATCAAACTCTGATTCAATGGAACAGTTGAAAACCCAAATTCCAACAAAAGCTCTGATTTTGAAATGAATTTGTGGGCGAATTCTTTCCAACTTGGGAAGATGATGCAGTATGGGTGGCGAGATTTTTGTATTTTATTGAACGTGGTCAATCCCGTTCTGTTATGGAATTCTTGACGATTCTATTTTATTTCCTAATTTAATTAGGAAATTATGTTATTTTATTTTTTAATCTAATTGGGATGTTTATTTATTTGGTTTCCTAATTTAATTAGGATTCTAGTTTCCTAGTTGGTTTAAGGTTTTAGTACTATTTAAACTCTTGTTATTCTTAGTGTTAAATAACTTTTCTTCCGAATACTTATGATATTCTTTGGAATCAACATGGTTATTGAAGTCTTTAAGATTGGTGTTCTTTGTGAATTAGTAGACCTTGAGTAGGAATCTAGATTGGTATATGTGTGTAAATCAACAGTTTATTTTTATTATCTTTTTTGTTTCTTATACCCTTTTTTCTACTCATTGCCCTGCATCAACATGAAAGGAGAGCATGTATGGAGTTCATCTTTGTCATGATGGCAAAAGTCTCTTGATAATCAATGCCATAGGTTTGGGTGAAGTCCTTTACAACCAACCTTGTTTTGTACCTCGTAACTGTTTCATTGGCTTGATGTTTGACGGTGAACATCCATTTGCACCATAATTGAACCTTTTCTTGAAATAGAGGATAAAGATTCATTTGTCATTCTTACCTTATCCCTACCTGAATATGTAGAATATGAAGAAAAAAGACTAGAGCAACATGTCATGTAGTCTGTGGCTCCAGAGTCGATAATCCAAGGAGAGTATGAGGATGAAAAACTAAATGCCCTAGCAGATATACCTGTTTGAGCAAAGTTGTAAGAAGAAGCATTATTTACACTATGGTAGGGGAAACATCAAGTTAAGCCATCAGACCTCTAAGAGTTTGCATTTCATCCTGACTAAAAAAGGTGCAAGTACTGCCACCAGATTGACATGGATGCTCTGAAGATTCAGTCATGTGTGCATTAGATCACACAGTACCATCTTTGTTAATTGTGGGTTGTTCAGTCAGTCAGCTTCTAACAAAACTCCCTAGTTTTCCTATTCTTCCCACAATAATCACACTTTAATCTATTTTTGTTTTCAATGCCACTCTTATGAGTAGAAGTTACACTCAAGTCCAAGATGTGCAAATAATGAGATTATTGCAAAACACAAGTACCAACAGAAAAAACACAGCTGAATAATTAGGGTGTAACCAGAAAATACTCCCCAGCAGTGGCAAAAACAGTATCCAAGTGGCCAGTAGTCCCAAAAATAGTACCAAACAGTGGCCAGATGCAAAATAGTGGCCAAACAGTAGCCAAACAACACCACAATATAAAAAGTGACCAAACAATACCAAAAAGTGCCAAAGAGTGCTAAATGGTATCAGACAGTGTCAAATAGTACCAACTATAGCTAAACAGTGTCAAACAGTAGCCAAATGCAAAACAGGAATCCTACAATCTTAATTTTGGACTGCTGACAATCTAGTTTAGCCAAAAATAAAAAAACTATTCCAAACGCAACAAATCTGCATGGGTATTCTAGATCAACACTAGTCGCACCTTGTCTTGTTGATTTGAAGCAAAAAGAGTTGAAGAATTCCTCAAAAATCCGGATTTTCATTCGTAACCATAGAATGCTGAAAATCAATCAAAAAATCGAAACTCCAATCAAACAGCTTAAAAAAATTATAGAAAAATAATCATAAATCATAGAAAATAGGAACGAAGCTGATCAAATGTGTTTTTCGAAAAAAATTGACATGCTTCGATCCTGATATCAGCCTGACAAAATTTGACGACATCCACTATTATGCTATCAAAAAATTTCCGTATCCCTCCATGACGTTTAGGCTTTAGAGTTTAGATAATGATCGATGCCCCAATACCAAGTTAGAATATGAAGTTTTAGGTTTAGGGTCTAGAGAAGTAAGAGAGCAGAGGAGAAGAAAAGACAAACGGCTAGGAGTGTAATTTCAAAGGTTATACTACACCCCAACTTATATATATAAGCACAAAATATGAGAATACCATCAAGCTAAACATAAAGCATAACAAACAATAACTAACAAGAAGCATTGGTGCTAAGCAAATTGGAGTTTTCCTTGTTTTCAGTATTTTGGTTTGCATGGGAAGGAACTATTTTTTGTGGATAGTTTGTTCACTTTGAAGGATCTTTAGGGTTATCTTTATGTACTTTCTTTTGGGTACTTGGAGCTTTGTTTGTATCTAGTGTAAGTTCTATTTTGTTATTTTTCTTTGATTTTTGTTTCTTTTGCTTCGACAATCTATGAATTCTATGAAAAATCATAGTATTAATTGTAAGCTACACAATTATATTTAACTAGATAGTACAAACTTTGATTATTTCTAATTCAGGTTATTTAACGGCATGATTAGTTACTGCTAATGACAACTTCATTCTTAAAGGTGGAAGTAAGACGTAAAAAGTAGTCTACTTCGATTCTGCCTGGGTTGTTCCATTTTTGACACTTAATATCAAATCTAAAAGAAATGAGAATATTGCTAGACAAATGGATTGTTGGATATGGGTTTCACTATATTCATTTTCTCTTTTGCCAGCTATTAGAAAGCAAGATACAGGAAGCAAAATCAAAGAAAGATACCCTAAAAGCTCGTGCTCAGTCTGCAAAGTTTGTTTGCTTCCCTTTTGAATTATTCACTTATGTTTTTCCATCTTGCGGTAGTGTTAATCCTCTAATTAATGGTGAATGGATGCTTCTCCTTTAGGACTGCAACCAAAGTTAACGAGATGTTGGGGAAAGTAGATACAAGCAGTGCTCTTTCAGCTTTTGAAAAGATGGAGGAAAAAGGTTAGGATACCCCATCTTTTTGCTAGTTCAGATTTCTGTTCTTATTAGAATCAATGCTATATATTTTTAATGCGTTCAATAATTTTCAAGTTGTGTGAAGCCTAATGTGACCTAATACATTGAAATCTATTTAAATTTTTTTTTTTGAATACTTTGGTCAAGGTTTTTTTAGTAATTTTTAGATTTTCCTATAATGGGTCGTGCTATGACTGTGGGTCATTTTTGGATCAAATTCTAGTGTTGGATGTTCTAGTATTTAGAATCCTATTAGTTTCCTAGTCTATAATGAATTTAGGGTATTTGAAGTTTTAGAGTCTTTGGAATCTTAACCCTTTTAGGTTTAGCAAATGCTTGGAGCTCTATATATAGAGATGCATTTAAGAGAGATTTTCAGAAAATTATAGCAATTATATACTTTTGATTTGTGTGATGCAATTCTAACCCTAGTTGTGATGCCTAAGGAACCTTATGAGCGATTCTTAGTTCTTTTCTTCTACTTTCTTGTAATTGTCTACGATTATTTAAGTTCTAAACCCCATAATTTAATATGGAATTTTATTCCTTTTACCCTTAAAAGTGATCTACAAAACCCTACCCCTTCTCAAAACAATCCATCAAACCTTAACCCCTAAAACTCAGGTCACGGGTACAGTTCACAGCCTTGAATATTTCTTGTTTTTTTAGGTTCACCATTGCCCTACATTATAACAATTCCCAAGCTAGTACTTCATTCCTGTGGTCCCTCCACTCATTGCCATTTGGTTGGGAGTTGGATGCTTTACTGTGGTATCAAAGATGGGTTCTTGGCGCATAATGGGTAAAGTCTCTTTCCCATTTGAAGTTTTTGGTATGTTTGTTTATCCAAGTGCTTGTTAATCCATGTGGGACGAGATAGTGTGAAGGGAACTTGTATACCAAATCAAAAGAGTAGGTCGTCCAATGTTAGGTTATATGGTTGAAGGCTTCTCAACCTATTCTTAATCTGTTTCGGCTTGAATGCTTTAACATAATAGCAGAGTTGGGTGTAAGGGAGAGTTTGGGCAAGACTCAATTTTATGGATTTGGCTATTGACTTCTGTTTTGCTCATGCCATAAATTATTTTGTCACCAAAATGGTGTAAAGATTCTTCTATCTATCTCTCAACATGTAGGTGGGGGTTGCATGTGTAGCGAGTGTAAGTTACTTGCTCCACTTTGATAATCTGACACATCCCAAACTAGTATATGAACATTATGGGGCTTTCTACTCATTGCCAATTAGTTTTGGGTCAAATTTGTTCAATGACTATGAATGTGGGAGAAGTCATCTATTCCCATTCATTTTAAGTTATGGAGATATTGATGAAGAATTGTCAACAAGAAAGGGTCAACAGACTTAGATATGACATTCAATGAACTTCCCCATCAATGACGGCTCTACAAATTTTACTTCCACATCAGACCAGAGTATTGAAATGTTGGTGCATTTCCATGCTTCTGTTCTTGTAGGGGTGGATAAGATGCATCTCATGATACTGACATGGGTATCGTCATTGTGCCAGTCTTCGTCACCTTCATCTATTAACTCTATGGGGTCCTTATCTAAAGGATCAACTTCTGGTCAACATTTTCTCTTTCAAGTGAATACCCTAACTCTCGGTCAACGTTCAAGGTGCATTGAGGGCATTGTGAAGCAATATGACATTTGCCATGACAATGGTAGCAATCTATGGAAGAATTATCTCAACCCTAGTGGCATTACCTCTATAGTTAGGGTAAGTGCTACCTGTGGATATGATAGGCGTTGATTGGGTGACTCCTCGAGACCTATCAAATGAGACTGATCTCAATGGTTGAGACTCTCTGGTTTGAACTGGCATGCACTACTGTATGGGCCACCTAAGGTATCTTTCAATCTCTAAGGAGAATATATTTCCTCAACCATTTTAGGAGAGCGGAAATTAATCTCTCTCTTTATCTCAAGTCTCAAGCTATTAGTGAATTTTGTAACTGTTATCCAAGGCTCTTCCTTTATATCACACCTCATGAAGTGCTCCTCAAATCGAGAAAGGTAATCAGTTATACTCAAGATCAACTGGCCCAAGTTCATCCCCTTGTCCCAGAGTTGGCGCTTATAGTAATTAGGGAGATATTTGTCTCTCAATCTTTGTTTCATCTCAGGCCATAAAGTAATGAGTTGTCCCTCTAAGCGGTCTTTTTCTCTTTGGGCTCCTGGCCAATAACTCTTAGCCAAACCAATGAGTTTTATTTTGCAAAACGAACCCGATGGTTGTCAGACATGTCATACCAATCAAAATAGTTATCCATTTCATCCAACCAATCTATGAAAACACCAGGATCTAACCTACCATAAAAATTAGGAGCTTCCACTTTGACTCTAGTTTGATATCCCTTGACTCTTCATGGACATGCCGGCGAGGGAGGCTTGTGGTATCAGACATGTGCTCGTAAGGGCTCACGGTAACCCTCTAGACATGATTACATAAGTTTGATCCTCTTGGAAATTCCTGTGGTGTACGTTTAGTTCGAAAAGGACATTAGGAGGTGGCCTCCTATTGGGACACTGGTCTTGACTCTCAATGAGGGTCTCAAATCTTTGTTCCAAGGCAGCATGGGACTCACAAAGTTCATGAAGGGTCATGGTGAGTGCGATATGGGATTTGGGCTCCATGTGGAATGCTGACTAGACTAAAAATTATATGAAGCAATACAAATTTCTTGAATGTTTGGGAGTGTTTCCATAACTTCTAGAACTTTTGGATGCTGTTTTTGCAATTTTGGGGATATGTTGGGGGATGTTTTTGCAATGTTGGAACTTATGAATGATATTTCTGCAATTTTTGGAATTCTTGAGGGTGATTCTGCAATTTTTGGAATTTTTGAAATGGCCAGCACAAACCTGTAATTTTTGGAATTTTTTTTTCTTTTTTCTTTTATCTTTTTGCCTTTTTATTTTTATTTATTTTTGTTTAGAATAGGTGTTGAACTAGTTACTATTGGGGGAAAAGGGTTGGACTTGGAACTTGGACGTGTGAGGTGGGCTTGGAGTATTCGTCTTGAGCCATTAGTATAATATTGGACTTGGGTTAAAAGGGCTGAAGATCTGGGGTAATAGGGTGTGGTTTAGTGAACGTGGACTTGGACTAGTGAGTATTTCTAAAATAAAATGGGTCAGGTTTTGGGTCAACTAGGTCGAGCTTGGGTAGGGTTAGACTAACCCTTTAAACTTGGCAGTTGGCCTTTCATATCCCGAGTATCTGTGCGCCGGTTGTGGGATACCCAACAAACTGTAGCCACAACACAACGTAACGACAGGAGATCAGTGGTAAGGTCGATCAATGGAGATCGGCGATGACTAAGTAACCTGGTTGTCCTCTTTGTAGAAAAAAAAAATGGTTCAATTTTCTTTTCTTGTGTTGGTGGGTTCAAAATGGGTTCTGTTATTTGGGTAAACAAGGGAGACGATGATTATGGGCTATTTGATTTTGATGACCAAAAGTGATATTTGGTTGATGGGGGCAATGTTTGGTGTGAGGGTTTGGTTTGGGTATAGTGGGTTCATTCAAGTAGTGAACTGAATAGTGGGTATGGTGGGTTCACGCAAGATTTGATGAGGTTTTAATTTGGTTTGAGTGAATTGAACAGTGGAGTTTTGACGAAGGTTTTAAGATGATGATGACCAGTGGCCGGCATCAACTAATCTAAACTTCTGATTGATGACAAAATAAACTGAATTTGTTTGGGGGTATGAGTGGTGGATTGAATTTAGGCTCTGATACCAAACTGATGTAAATTAGGAAGATGAATGATTGGGGGATGAGAAAATCAAGAGAAAGAGAAGGGAGCTTGGGTAGCAAACAATACTAATAGTCAATGATAATAAAACAAGTAAAATGACAAATAACTCTTAATCTCTTTGTTCACTATGACGAAAGACAATTTGATTCCTATTGGTGGGATGGTTGCTTTGGTTGGGATCACCATGAGAGATCAGAGTGTTAATCAATAAAATTGACCATTTCATTATACCAATCTTCGTGGGTTGCATGGATTGTTCTCGTTAAGAGCTTTTCAATTTTTAATTGATCAATTGATTTTTGAAAAAAAAGTAATTGTGGTAGATTAGGTTATAATTTGGTGTTTGTTCAAGTAAAATTCAAATTAACCTTCTGACTCCTCCTCTAGGTGGTGTATTAATCCCACGTGTAGTCGTGAGAGGATGACCCATTCTGCATAAGGGTAACGTTTATCCGTATATAGTCAAATAAATGTTATTTTACGTCAACATTAGAATTTTGAGATGCCGTTTCTAACTGATTTCTACTGTTGTCGATTTTTATGGTGTCTTAATACTGTGGTACGCGATCACCTTTAAGTTCATATACGATTTGTGAACCAACATGGCTGTGCTTCACTGGGTATGATGCTCTTTTAGTTTTGTGGTAACCGTTAGAACGTAGAATGACTATTATGATGTCTGAAGCTTATGCTTTGTAGAGTTTGCATTAGAATTGCATCTTTCTTATAGTTTAAGCCTATTGAAAGAAACCAATGAAATTGCATTGTAGAACTATAGCAAATTCAAAATCATAGTCGTGAGGCTGATAGTCAATTTTCTTTTCCTTTTCTAATAGTGTTGGCCATGGAATCTCAGGCAGAGGCACTTAATCAGCTAACCACAGATGATCTTGAAGGAAAGGTAGCATTTTTCTTATGCTTCACTGCACCTTGTTCTGTATTTTTTGCTCTTTATTTGGTCAATTTTATTTTATTGGGTGATATTTGGCGTCAGCATTCAACTTGAAATGGACAAAGAAGAAAGGTGCCATTTGCAATAAATGGATAATTTGCATTGAATTCGTTTCCCTTTGTTTTATTTTAATAAGTATCTGGTTTGCAACTTAATAACTACCTTGTATTTGTACAACTTTCCGTATTACATAATGGTATTGAACCTTGTTTCTGAAAAACTGTCGAGGCTGATATTATAAAAAAGAAAAAGGTCAAAAATATGCTGTCTGACATACTTTCCAAAAAATATATTCCTGTCATCTTAATTCTTTATAATAATTGGATATATAATGTCTTGAACACGTATTCAATGTGAAAGAAACATTTCAATAACCATGGTTGTGTCTATTTGTAGCTACCATTGTCACTATTAGCTCATAATCACAATAGTTCTAGATATTTTTGTGCAAAGAATCAGAATTAAATAATCAATAATGTGATATTTCAGTGTCAGCATCTACTTCGCTTGTGCTCTATACATCTTTGGGTATTGAGACCTGAATTTGATGTTCCCTTGTCTATAATCTTTCCAAAAGGCAAAGTTTCCTGCTACTTAATGCTTATATGATCCCAAATGGTTTATACCTTGTATAGTTTCAAATGCTAGAGAGCTCTTCAGTTGATGATGATCTTGCCAACTTGAAGAAAAAACTATCTGGAAGCACAAAGGTATTTTGTACTTAAATTTCAGCTATTTTATTTGTTTAAAGTTATTTATCTTTCATTGGTTTTGGACTGCTAGGTATTAAGCACTATCATATATAGCTCATCATTATAAAAAATCAGGAATCATTGCTCTTGATGCAGATCAATGTTTGCAGACCCTAAAGAATACATTTATAGACCCTTAATGGACCTAACAGGGGTGAGCAGGTCTTTAAAAAATAAATGTGGATTTGATACACGAAGACCTAGTTCCAATCACACTACCAACAAGCAAATATCACAATGAAGCAGATGAGTAAACTAGATCAAATCACTTGCAAGAAATAAAAGCAATCCTAAAGAATACACTGACTTTTACCCGGAAAATCCAAACTCGGGGGAAAAAAAACCCACGGGACAAGTGTCTGACACTCCACTACTCTTGTCTTTACCTCTTTTGATGATTCGATGCCACTCACAATTGTCTGATACTGCACTAACAATGAATGTTTAGATTATGCTCATACTTCCAGAATACTTGTTGACTAGTCTCACTTTGCAGATCGGGAACATGATTGTCTCGAACTTATTCATGGATCGCNATGCTCATACTTCCAGAATACTTGTTGACTAGTCTCACTTTGCAGATCGGGAACATCATTGTCTCGAACTTATTCATGGATCGCACCAACTCAACGCATTAAGTTCATACAATTAAAAATTGTAACTTTGAGAGTTTGGGATACCTAGAAGGGATATTCACTTATGAACTTACTCAGGATTAGGTTTCTAACTAGATTTGATAAAAAAAAATACCCAAATGACTTCTAGAATTGCTTATCACACACAAATAGTAGTTAGATGAAAAAACTAGTCGAGTAATTTCTCTAGTAGGTAAAGACCTGGGGACAATAGACAATAGGAGAAATTACTTCTAGAGTTACTTGACTAGATTTGATAAAAAAAATTTAGAAATCTAATTAGCGTAGGAAACTCTAGATTTTGTAGGTATGTCGGTCATTCTTTGCTCACTCGAGCATGTTTGGTTTAGCTTGAGCGCTAAGCGAGCAATAAGAGAGCATTGACTTCTGAAAAATTTAGATTCTCCATTTTTCATAGCCTCTGAGCACCCAAGGAGCTCGCTCGAGTGCCAGTCATATTTGGCACCTAAATTGTTTCCAAAATATTTTTTCCATAGAAACAAGTGCCAATAACATTTTATTTGATAAAACTTTGAGCCAAATACGATCATCCTTAAATAGTTATAACCTCTTAAGGGTCAAGTAGGCCTGTAAGTCTATAGCCACCAACCCTGTTCGAGAAACCTACGGCATATGCCAACTTCAAGAACATGCCAAGCCAATCCTAGGGACATGTGCCTAATATACAAATATGATCTTCCTAGACCTACATTACTCCCTATGAGCTTAAAGTCTTCCAAAAATGTTTAATTCGTCTTTTTTGTTGCTCAAGAATTTTCAAGTCTGAGGCTTGCATCCATAACTTTCCAGCTGATGCCTTCATCTTTTTTATTGCTCGAGAATCTTCAAGTCTGAGGATTGCATCCATAACTCTTCCAACTAAGCTATAGTGTAAGTCATGGAATTGTCAATATGTTTTCCTAGACTTAACACTTAATCAAACACAAACCATGCAAACTTACTTTGATTGAATTTGGAAATGTAGCCACCACAAAACTTTCCAAAAACACCCCACAACATATCAGAAGCCACTGGCAGTTTCTATCCTTTATTCCATTGCTCTATGAATTCCTTAAACGCTGTGGTGGTGACTCTCAAATGTAAGTAGTGTTGTTTTTGTAAATATCCTATGAGAAAGGAAAGAAACATGATAGGTCCATTCCAGAGAAATCTAAGTAGTGTTGTTTTTGTAAAGAGACCTTGTATCCACAATGAATAATTAGAACCACCCAAGGTTGGTTTATATACTTGAGGAGTTACTCCACTCATTGTTAATTGGTTTTCGGTTGGATACTCAGTGAGCCAAGTTTCTTACGCGTTTAAATTTTCTAGTATGCATGGTTTTTGTTTGTTAGCCTCACGTGCGACTTGAGTCCCACATGAGGGAGGGTGTAAAAAGAGTTTCTATCTTACATCGAATAATGACGACACCCAATGTTGATTTAAATACTTGAGGAGCTACTTCACTCTCATTGCCAACTATTTTTGGGTTGGATGCTCTAGCAATTTCTTCAGTATTGTTACTACATCCATGAGCTCCGTAGGCACATGGTGATGACTATCACTGCACTCACTTTCGACCATGAATGGCAAGCATATGCAGAGGAAGAGTGAAGAATTAGCTTAGCTTCCCTTATCGGGGCTTTGGGATTACCACTGATGGAGATCAGTTGAATGTAGGTGATTTTCATGGGTGGGACAAGCTTTGACTCTAGAAAAAATCCCCCTAAACCAAGAATGTCCAGTGTTTTTTGAGGGAGGGTCAATGGCCAAGGAAACAAAAAAAGGGGGGGGGGGGATTCACCCTGAAAGCCCTAGGAAAAGCTCTCTCTCTCTCTCTAGAATCTGGAGAGAAAATCTCTTTCCTGCCTCCTTTGTAATTGGATGTCATGCAATGAAATTTTGCATAAGTCCTACGCCCACAAACCGAGTGAAAAAATAGTTGATATAACATAATGAAAAGACATGATTCATGGTTTAGGCGTTGTTGAGTTGAGAGAATTATATTTATTCTTTCAATGGCTGCTTTAGCTCCCCTTCCTTGGATTTGGTGCATTAAACATATTCTGAAAAGTAGAAGTCTGTTTTGCATTTTCATATGATTTAACTAAACTACATATAATGATCTCACATGAAATTATGTCAGAACGTATCATTTGTCCTTCATATTTGTTATCTAAATATATAGTTATTGAAGAAAGGCTTTTTATCAAGCTAACGATATGTGTTAGTTGCAAGTCCATGATTCTCTTGCTCTAAGATGTTAGAGAATCAAATTTATCCATTAAAGTGGAGAGTAGTTTAGGGATATTTCAGCAAATGGATAAATTTGACCCTTAAGCCCAAATTTGTCCATTTGCTGAAAGTTCTAAGCCCATTTGCAAATTACTACACCAAAGCAGTGGCATTGAGTCTAGGAAGTCATTTAATTGCAAGTTAAGTCTTAAGATGGGCATTTGCCTAATCTTACCCTACCAACTTAATGGAAACTTCACTAGATGATGATCTCCATTTTGCATGGCAATATATTAGTCTATAGACTGTAGCTTTCTTTTTTCTTAATTACTTGCTATCTTTTTGGTTGCATCATAGACCGTTATCCCATTTTACTGGATGTGACCTTGTTTATACTTGTATTACGTGCCACTTATCGAACCAAAATTTTTTATATTTTCTCTCCCTCCCCCCTTTCTCTCTCTCCCTGCATTTCTTTGCAGAGTGTTTATACGGGAGAAACATTATTATCTGTTAGCAAATTGCTTATTGTAAAAGTTTAATTCCGTGAACTCACAATGTAAATCTCAAATAAATCTATGGTCATAATGGTACAAAGTTCAACATTCAAAGCTACAAGAAGGAAGGAGTTCAAGCTCTNCAATGTAAATCTCAAATAAATCTATGGTCATAATGGTACAAAGTTCAACATTCAAAACTACAAGAAGGAAGGAGTTCAAGCTATAAGCCACATCATGAAGATCTCTCAGGATCCTTCCAAGTTTAGGAAAAATAATGATCTTGGAGACCATAAGACGTATTGGTATTTTTACTTTGGCTCATTAGGTTTTGAATAAAATGGATTTAGGATGAATCCTTACATGACTTATAAGATGTTTTATTGAAAGTACTTTTGAAACATTAAATCTTCTCTTGAAAACATAGATTGAGTCATTGATTTGATCCTTGTTGAGTAACACGCTTTAGTATTTAATGGGGCAAGTGTTTGTTTGGTTTTCGGCTTACAAACCTATAAGAACCGTACTCTAGTCACTAGCTTGTGACTAGAGCGGTCTATAAATACTTAGGAAAAATTTAGAGAAGGCAAATTAGTTGGCAGGGGAGACGGCTCACTAGGCTTGACCACCACTTGACGGCCCCTGCTGGACAGACATGGTTTAATTCATTTTTTCGTTCCGGTGATAACCAGCTTTTGACCGTCCCCTAACTTCTTGAGTGGTACCTTGCGAATTCCAGTTTTTTTGGACCCCAAGTTGACTCTAATTAGGAGAACTATATACATAGGCAAGCTTTTTCAAGCTAGGGAAAACTCTTTTAAGACAAAACTGCTTCTTATCTATTATACTAGAGCCAAGCCAGACCCTATATTCCCAAGAATCCAAAAGGTCAATCAACTTTGATTAATCACATACTTCAAATCCAAATCAAGAAGAAGAGAAAAATCTTGGAGAAATGCACCATACCCACATGATGTGTATGATGATCAAGTAGATCTTGGGAAAAGAGTTCTTTGAAGATTGAAAGAGACCAAGTCAAATCGTAGAGCTCGATTTGTCATAGTGAAGTTATAGCTCGAGACTTGCAGTGGTGATTCTGGAGGGCTAGATTCAAGCCAGACATTGGCCATGGGTGTATTGGTTGAAGTATAAATCTTTGACCTTGTAATCAATTATGAGTATAGTGGTTTAGGTTTAGGTTGATCCGATTGGTTCTGTGGTCATTCCCGTGAGGTTTCCACGTTAATATTGCTTCGTGTTGTGGTTGATTGTTTGTTGATTTATTTTGTACACATGCAATTGTGCACACACAGACATCGTGTGTTTGATGATTTGATTGAGTGATTGCTACACCTTGAATATCATTAATTTGGTTTAAATCGGTGAAAGGGTCATTGGAGTGATAAAGATGATAGATTTGGTTGTTGGTTGAGATTGCTGAATTTAGACATCTTGCATCAACATATTCATTGAGGGTTTGTTCATTGTTAAAAAAAGTTCAATAAGCTTTAATTTGATAATCAATCAATTGATCGGCAATTGAGGTTTGAAGGTCTAAAATTGGTTTAGTTTTTCGCGTGAAGTGTAAAAGATCTATTCATCCCCCACCCCCTCCTCTAGATCGTGCTAGTGTAATTTCGCATGACAACCGTAGTACACTTCCTCGTTATCCTTCTTTCTTTTTCGACATGTGCAGTGTTTGAGTGCTACCCGAATGGTGGATTGGTTGTCCTGCCTATGTAACTTACTCTAAATGGCTTCGTATTGCCTCTCGCTCTCTATGTACTTATTAGGTTAATCAAAAAAGAAAAAAAAGGCCCCCTTAAGTGGCCAAGCAGTTTTTTTGGTTTTTTTTTTGGGTTGGGGGGGGTGGGGGAGGGGGGCGTGCGGTGTGGGGTAGGGCTGTGAGGTTCTACGTCTCGAGATATAGTGTGGGCTGTAAGTTGGGGTAGTGAGGAGAGAAGATGAAGATGACTGAACAGGATGTTTGATGGTGTGTATGGCCGCATTCTCCTTATATATTAGGGTAATGGGCATTTTGGTAAATGTAACCACAATTCTCAAAATAGCTTATCTGGTTGTCTCTTCAATTACCAAACTTCACTAGGAGTGTCGGTGTAAAATTCCATGCGTGAGGGTAATGGGCATTTTTGTAGCTTCATTTGCGTGGAATGGTTACCCACGGATTTGAAATCATGTTATCATACTTGACAACTTGAGTTTCTATCCTTGTACACATAAATGCCTTGCCAATTAAGTGTGAATCCTAATTCATGAGGAGAAGGTTTTGCTGTTTGTTGGCTTTTTTTTACCGGTTGGGGGTGGGTCGGGTCTGGGAAGAGATAAGGATGCTTCCTAAGTTATAATTGTGCACCTGCTAATTGTAGTTTTATGTATTCTTTGGCACACAGAAAGGAGAGCTTCCACCTGGGAGGATACCCTTTGCCAGCACAAGCGCTGCATTTCCTCTTCGAGATGCTGAGATTGAGAAAGAGCTGAATGAATTAAGGAGAAAAGCCAACGAATTCTAGGAATTATGCTCAACCTTCCAAATGTGCCTTTTCACCCTTTCGTTGACCATATAGAAATGCAATATATGCTTTTTCTGACCAGGAACCTTGATTTGTACAGAAGCAACTTGAATTCAGGAAATAATAATGAATTTCACGGATGGTTGATTCATGAATGTTGTTTTATGGAAAACCTGCTGTTTACTGATATACATTTATGTTAGTATAAAATGGCCCTTAGTGATATTGTATATCTGTGTCCATTAGATCATCCATAAGGTCTCTATAATTAAATATTAGGGAGAATTACACGTAGACCTCTTAAGGTTTGTCAGTTAATCACTCTGACCCTTTAATATTTGAAATATTACACACAGATTCCCTGAAGTTTGTATGCGCGTAACACTTAGACTTCTGTTTGAAATATATCAGTTAATAAATTATATTTAGATCTCTTGAAGTTTATAAGTATATAATACTTAGACCCTTTAAGTTTAAAATATTATATTTAGACAAAAAATATTCCAATGAAAGATAAAATATTAAATATTTTAAATTTTACAATCAAAATTCATTTTCTATTGTATTATTTATTGAAATAAAATTAAAAATAAAAATTTAATTTTTTCTTAAGAAACATAATTAGTATACAATTATATTGTCTATTGGAATTTAATTTAGNTGTATTATTTATTGAAATAAAATTAAAAATAAAAATTTAATTTTTTCTTAAGAAACGTAGTTAGTATACAATTATATTGTCTATTGGAATTTAATTTAGTTGTTTAAATGACTAAATTAAAATATCAAACTACCCAAATTAAAGTTAAATGATATTGTGCCCGTTACAGTTTGATGCATTGTTTATTTTTTTAGTTTTATTTTAATATATAGTATAATTATATATTAATTATGATTTTTTTTTAAAAAAATTAGATTTTTATTTTTTATTTTATTTCAATAATGACATAATAGAATATGAATTTTAGATGTAAAATTCATGTTCTATTATCAATGACTTAGACAATATGTTTGATTTTTTAGTTTTATTCCAATAAATAGTATAATTGTATTCTAATTATAATTTTTTAAGAAAAAATTAAAATTTTATTTTTAATTTTATTTCAATAAATGATACAATAGAACATAAATTTTGGTTATAAAATTTAACATATTTGATATTCTATCTTTGATTAAAGTATTTTTTGTATAAGTATAATATTTTAAACTTAAGGGGTTTAAATATTATATATTTATAAACTTTTGGGGGGTTTAAGTATAATTTATTAACTGAAATATTTATTGTACGAGTCTAAATGTTACGCGCGCGTACAAACTTCAGGGAGTCTGTGTGTAATATTTTAAATATCAAGGGATATAAGTGATTAAGTGACAAATCTCATAAAGTATGGATGTAATTCTCTCTAAATATTATTGTTCGATGTCCATGTTTAACTTGTAGATTTTGGAAACTTTTGAAATTTGACAATTAAAATTAACGAATTTTAATTATCTTATCGTAGAAAGCACTAAAACAAAAATAACATATAGAAAAGAAAACATAATTTAGAATTCAAATAATAGTCGTTATTTTAATGTTTAGAATTTATAAATAAAATTGTGAAAAAATTCATAAAACACAAAAAATATTAAAATTAACAAATATTCATTTAAAAGATGAAAAGTTAACTAAAAAAGTAACCACTCAACACAATAAGTAAAAACGAATTTGAAGACTGTGAAGGAAAAAAAAACTCAAAACTAATTAGCAGTTTATGGAACAAACAAAATAGAAAAATAATAAAAGAAAGCACAAGTTTAGTTTGATAATATATGAATGTTGTAGAATAAGAAATACAATTTGTTTGAGCTTTTTCAAACATTAATGACCGATAATTTGGAGAAGAAGAGAGATGTTTATTGACAATAATAATGCCAAAAAAAATTTAAAATCCAAAATAGTAGAGATATATACAGTCAACGTTATATATGCAAATCTTGTGATAATATAATTTTTCCATTATATTAGAAAATCTTTAATACAACAAAATAATATCAAAAATCAAATTAACTACTAAAAGAAGTATGTAAGATTTAAAAGAGGACAAATATGTCAAAAAAAAAATTACAAAAAGTCAAATTGTGTATTTGGAGTCAATTAAGTTTTAAAAATAAGAAATTAATGACTTAATATTAAGAGTTGTATATTTTTTGACAAATAATTCTAATTTTGTATACTTTCTTATAATTTTCCCTTAATTTTACCTTCCTAAGTTATGTTCTTTTTGTGACTAATCTTGCTTGGTCAAGGTTCAATGATTTTAATGGAATAATCTTGTCTTTAGTTATAATGAATAAATGTAAGACTCTAACACGCATGACAAACATATAATATTTGTAATAAACATATTCACATTAGACATGTATGTGTAAGACTGACAATCAGTATTTAATTATGAGTAATGATGTGAGACCTGAACTTGAACGATGAATATTTTAATAGTCAGAGATAATTTTATAAAGAATGATTATAGGGGAAATTATTTTATTGAAGGTGTGAAAAGTTAAATACGAACGTTGACATGTGGTATGAGTTTATTATTTTATGTACGTTAGTGCTTGTAGGATTATCGGGTGACAAGCATGACATCAATTTATAGCTGTAAAAATAAAATATGTTAGTATGTACAAGGAGTGGTTAGGNCAATAATAATGCCAAAAAAAATTTAAAATCCAAAATAGTAGAGATATATACAGTCAACGTTATATATGCAAATCTTGTGATAATATAATTTTTCCATTATATTAGAAAATCTTTAATACAACAAAATAATATCAAAAATCAAATTAACTACTAAAAGAAGTATGTAAGATTTAAAAGAGGACAAATATGTCAAAAAAAAAATTACAAAAAGTCAAATTGTGTATTTGGAGTCAATTAAGTTTTAAAAATAAGAAATTAATGACTTAATATTAAGAGTTGTATATTTTTTGACAAATAATTCTAATTTTGTATACTTTCTTATAATTTTCCCTTAATTTTACCTTCCTAAGTTATGTTCTTTTTGTGACTAATCTTGCTTGGTCAAGGTTCAATGATTTTAATGGAATAATCTTGTCTTTAGTTATAATGAATAAATGTAAGACTCTAACACGCATGACAAACATATAATATTTGTAATAAACATATTCACATTAGACATGTATGTGTAAGACTGACAATCAGTATTTAATTATGAGTAATGATGTGAGACCTGAACTTGAACGATGAATATTTTAATAGTCAGAGATAATTTTATAAAGAATGATTATAGGGGAAATTATTTTATTGAAGGTGTGAAAAGTTAAATACGAACGTTGACATGTGGTATGAGTTTATTATTTTATGTACGTTAGTGCTTGTAGAATTATCGGGTGACAAGCATGACATCAATTTATAGCTGTAAAAATAAAATATGTTAGTATGTACAAGGAGTGGTTAGNAATAAAAGAAAGCACAAGTTTAGTTTGATAATATATGAATGTTGTAGAATAAGAAATACAATTTGTTTGAGCTTTTTCAAACATTAATGACCGATAATTTGGAGAAGAAGAGAGATGTTTATTGACAATAATAATGCCAAAAAAAATTTAAAATCCAAAATAGTAGAGATATATACAGTCAACGTTATATATGCAAATCTTGTGATAATATAATTTTTCCATTATATTAGAAAATCTTTAATACAACAAAATAATATCAAAAATCAAATTAACTACTAAAAGAAGTATGTAAGATTTAAAAGAGGACAAATATGTCAAAAAAAAAATTACAAAAAGTCAAATTGTGTATTTGGAGTCAATTAAGTTTTAAAAATAAGAAATTAATGACTTAATATTAAGAGTTGTATATTTTTTGACAAATAATTCTAATTTTGTATACTTTCTTATAATTTTCCCTTAATTTTACCTTCCTAAGTTATGTTCTTTTTGTGACTAATCTTGCTTGGTCAAGGTTCAATGATTTTAATGGAATAATCTTGTCTTTAGTTATAATGAATAAATGTAAGACTCTAACACGCATGACAAACATATAATATTTGTAATAAACATATTCACATTAGACATGTATGTGTAAGACTGACAATCAGTATTTAATTATGAGTAATGATGTGAGACCTGAACTTGAACGATGAATATTTTAATAGTCAGAGATAATTTTATAAAGAATGATTATAGGGGAAATTATTTTATTGAAGGTGTGAAAAGTTAAATACGAACGTTGACATGTGGTATGAGTTTATTATTTTATGTACGTTAGTGCTTGTAGGATTATCGGGTGACAAGCATGACATCAATTTATAGCTGTAAAAATAAAATATGTTAGTATGTACAAGGAGTGGTTAGGGGTTTGAATTACAAATTTAATGGTTTACCAATTTTTTTTGGACATATATGTGTGTGTGTGTATAAATATGCATACAAGAAAATGTGAGTGCAAAGGTAAAAATTGTGATCAATTTTTTTCGTCTAAAATGTAGAAATGCAACTCTAATATATACATTTTGAATGTTGCATGTGTTTAAAGTATGATATTTGTTATGTGTTTGGATGATGTATATATATATATATATGATGTTTCGTATGAGTTTTAATTTAATGCATGAAGGATTCACCTTAAAATTTATGTAGGTATATGAATTAAGTTAGAGTTGTATGAAAAATAGATTAGTGGACCTCTGGTATGTGGGTTGAATTTTGGTTAAGAAAGATTGTAGTTTTGTGGGTAATTAGGAATCTTGTGAATTGTCTTTGAATTTTCATAAATTTCATGGGTATGAGTAATTATAAGAAAACATGCAATCTTACGATTTTATATGAAATTATATAGATACAAGTATACTTTTGGTTACTATAATTTTATGAGAAAATTTTACCTTAGATGTAATGGATTCGAGTAGGTAATTTCACTTGTTATGAATGGATTATTTTCAAGTGAGTAGAATTGATCATAACTACTAGTTTAATTGATTCAAATAATT